AAAACAACTTCCCTATTCTAAAAAAAAAACATTCAGTGTATCTTTGACCGCCCCTCATCTGTACTCCGTGATTCCATTCATATGCAAGGCAACAAAATCAGTGGCAGAAAGTAAATCACTAATTGGCTGGGGATGGAGGGCTGGGAAGAAGGCAGGCTGGGCAAGGGGCACGGGGAAGTTCGGAGCCACGGAAATGTGTACGTCTCAACGTGGGTTCCAGCACTTGAAATACACATACTGGAGTCTACGCGCAGCGCTCTCCTTGATAAAGCTGAGAGGAAAAACTGAGGCTGAGAACATAATATCCCCTCGCTGAAGTGGGCTCGTAGGAAGCACTCAACAAACATCAGCTCTGCACTAGGGAATGGAGACTGAGCTGGCCTCTCAGGAAAGCTGGTGGTGGTGTCAGGGCAAAGGGTCTCAGTGAGGAATACGAAACCCACATCTACATTTACAAGTAATACCGACAGGCTCTTCTCAGCTACAAAATACAAACAAGGAAGATGAACAAGATGACGAATGGAGCTCAGTAAGACTGGATAAGTACAAGTACCAATGAAGACAGTACTGACAACCTACAGAAGAGAGACATTTTGATGGGATGGATGTCGAGAAGAAGGAATTTCAGGTGAGTGGGACCCCGCAAGCACTAAGGGATGGGGGCTGGGGAAGAAGTGAGGAAGGTGGAAAAGGAGCCACAGTGCATTGTCCTCCAGGGAATAAGGGGACAGAGTCCACAAATGCAAGGCCAAGTTAAAGAAAGCTCTCCATACCAGCTTAAAGCTGAACTTCATTTGCCCAGGGGAACCCGCCAAAGAGTGCAGTGTGATCAGATCCATCTTGGACAAACAAGGTCCTACCGCATCTAGAGGGTAACTTGGCAAGTTATCAAGAGGTCTGGCACTCACAGCCCTCATCCTGGCAATGCCTGAGGAAATCATCAGAAATGTACACAAGGATTTATGCATTAGGACAAGGACATTATTTATCATAGCTCGGGGCCCAAAATAACTTGAATGTACAATAAAAGGGAACTACTAAATGAGTTACAGTACGCTGAGTGATTAAAACACATGTAGCCATTAAATTATACTTCAAGAATATGATGGGGGCACTGCATGCCTCCCTCCACAATGTGAAGTTGCAAAAAAAGCAGGATGCAGAAATGTATGTTGAGCATTCATTTGACAAATAATTATTGATTATCTTTTAAGTGCCAGGGTACAGCGGAGAATAAAACAGACACAACCCCTGTCCCCACGGGAAGGGATTCTACCTTTTAATGAAGGAAGGCAGACAGGAAAAAAAATGTCAACAAGCAAAATATATAGACTCTTAAGAAGTGCTACAGAGAAAAATCAAGAGAGGGGAATGATGGGGAGTTGGGGGGAAGGTAAAAAATGTCAAACGGGTGCTGAGGAAAAGCTTCTGAGAGAAGGGATTAGGAAGACGAGGCAAGGAGGTCTCCGCAGAGAACTCCCAGACAAAGAAATGGGCAGTCGGACAGCCCACAGGGCCTGGGGCCAAGAGGAGGACACTTCCAGAAAGAGTAAGGCAGCACAGTAAGAAAGACAGTAAGTGGCTGGCAAGACAGCTCAGCAGACTAAGCACCCTGTCCTTTGGCAATCACAGGGACCCGGGTTCCTGTGACAGAGTTGAGCCTGTGACAGAGTCTGCACATAGAGGTACACGCCTGTAATCCCAGAGCTGGGGGCTAGCCAGAGAGCTCAGCAGACTAAGGCGCCTGCTTAGGCAGAGCACAGCGGCCAGGGTTCGATCCCCAGCGTGCCATGCCCACCCTGCCCCTGGGGCGCACTGAGATGATGACTAAAAACTGGGCACAGTGGCACACCCTTATAATCCCAGCACTTGGAAGGCTGAAAATAGGAGGATCACTACAAGTCTGATCTGTAATGAGATCCTGTACTGAATACATTAAAAAAAAAAAAAATCCCAGAGCTGGGGAGGCTGCAAACAGGAGGATCACTACGAGTCAGAGCTGTGTAATGAGACCGTGTACCAAATACATAAAAATGAAAAAATAAAATAAAACGAAAATAACTTGTAAAATTAAAAAAAAAAGAAAAAGAAAATAACTTGTTAAAAAAAGACAACAGGCAGGGAAGAGAGGCCAAAGGGAAGCTAACGCCCCTCTGCAGAGGTGGTTGGGAGCGCAGAGGGGCTGGAAGCGAGGGAGCCATGATTTGAAGAACAAGGGCTGAAGCAGAGAGCCAGGCAGGGTTTCCCTGGGCTGCCCCAGTTCCTCGTAATAGGAATGGGTTCAGTTTATAATCAGAAAACAAATGATAATGCAATCAAAGACAGCAGGACGCAGTGAAACCATGGGGTTGCTGCCACAGGAACCCAGGCAAACAAACAAGGAGGGTAGAGAAGTGACTCCAGTGATGAAGGGCGAAACATTGACAAACAGGACAGCACATGTTCACAGAGCTTTGTAACAAGCAAAATTATTCCTCTTAATAATATAAGAAACATAACCAAGATGTGAAAGCTATGAAAATGACAAAGAAAGAATTCCCCTGTAACCTCTGCGCCCTTGCCGTCAGGATTTAACATCCCAGAATAGTTTCTTCCTGTCCTTTTTCCTAGACATGCTTTTATTCTTCTTCTCTTAATCTTACTCCAGTGCCCAGCACATTACGAGCAAGCAAAGTCACTGAACAAATGAATGGCAGGCCAAATGCTCCAAACCTCTTGATGTGCCACCGGCTACACGAGGTAACTTTGCAGACCCAGTCTGCCTAAGCTGAAATGAAAGAACAGTAGCCATGGAGAAACAGAAGCCAGGGCTACAGGTGACTACGGTGTCACATCTGGTTGGGTAAGAGGACAGTGGTGACTTAGTTCCAAGGGCAACTGAAGAAAGCAACTGGGTGAGGAAGATGGTGTGCTTGGTCTGTGTGAGCAAAGGGTACAATGTCCTTGCAGGGCCGCCCAGCTGCCCATCTCTCTCGGGGCTCACTAAACAATGAAGCTTGCACATCTAAATGATGACAGCAGGAAGAGAAAAGAGAAGGAAAAAAAGAAGGCGGGATAGCGGGAGGAGGAGGAAGAGCAGAAGGTCCTGGTCCTTCTGGAGTGCACACACATCCCCTCTTCCAACCCTCACAGCCACTTTGGAGGGCCACACTTACATGCCCATTTTACATATGGGGACACTGAAGGCCCAAGAGGCTCAGTGACTTACCCAGAGCAGAGACAGGACTCAAATCCCTAATTATGAGGCCAGTGACCACTCATTCTCCACTATGTTCAGAGAAGCTGAATATAGCCCAGAAGCCCAGGGAGAAAATGGCTTAAAATGCCTTCATGGGCCCACTTTTTGCTCTTAACTTCCTAAAACCCAAAAGGAAGAGGGCTCTGTTTCTCTTCCAACCTGTATTTTACAGATCACCCAACTTTTAATTATACCCACTGGGCCCTTGTTTTCATGCATCTGAGTCTTCTCTCTGCTGTAAGCCAAGCAGCCCCTGGAAGCCAGGACATGTACCAGTCAGAGTGTACACAGCAGAGGCTCTGGGAAGGTAACCTGGACCCTCACCCCAGGGCCATTCCCTGCTCTCTCAGGCATTGGACTCTGGGCCACAAGAGTTGACCTGACTATCTCTGGCCCAAGTGCAGTCAAGCCAAACCCCAGTAGATAAGAGAATGACAGTAGACAGGAGATCCTAGGCAGATGGGTAGATTAACACAAGGAACTAGAGCAAACCTTACCTTTCCGTGGAGGTAGCTATCAGCACCTACAAACCGTGGGCCACAGGTCAGACTCAGTTTACCCAGGTGTAGTCCTTGGCTTTAACACATTATCATCTCAACCTTTTTGAAAGTGAGAGGCTTCATATAAAAATCTGGAATTGTGTAAGCTGTCTTCTAGGTGGCCCACCCTCTCCCCCAACTATGATCTCTCCCAGGACAGGGCTGTGGGCCCAAGCACCAGCTCATCAGGAAAGCCAGGGCTGGCTGGTATGTACTCACCGGCACTCAGCGTGGTGAACTCCAGGAAGCGGTATTCATAGGCCACGTCTACCTTAGTTTCCACCTGAGGCCTCTTCAGAGTTGAATAAATATTCCCAGGCCGTTTCTCATCGCGTTTCTCCAACTTGTTCAATCCACAACCCATGTCAGCAGCTGCCCATAAAATGAAAAAAAAAAAAAAAAAAAAGGAGGACAAGTGTGTAAATTATTTTTTCAGAGATTTTTTTTTTTTCAGCACTGCAGTAGAGAGAATCATCTGAAGTCTCCTGAAGAACGCACAGAAGGCCTGAGCCTGTAAGAACTTCAGTGTAACCTTACACAGGTCGTGAATACGGAGGAGGGCTACGTTCAGCACCCAAGCTTGCTCTCAGCACACCGCTGCTAATTATCCTGTGGTTTTTTAGATGACAGCAAAACAATATCTGTTTTATGTCTTTTTTTCCTCCACCTGAGGAAAATAATACCTCAGAGTACCTTGGTTCTACTCTAATCCGTACACATGAACAGGACCTAAAAAGCAGTACGGGGCATTATAGTTTCAGCTGGCCTATTAGAAAAACAAGAGCTGTGTTTTTCTCCCTGCGAATGGTTGCTAAGAGAGAATAATAAGTTGCTGTTACAATTCCTAAACTCTGGAGTCCTTTCTATCCTCAACCATCATTGTTTAGACAAGAGTTTATATTCATAAAACATCTTTAAAAAGTAGATGGCGGTATTTTTATTGGCCTCATCTCCAAGTCCCTTTTCTTCTTTTTTAGACCAATCTGTAAGAAATAACAGGGCGCTCCTACGCTCTCAGAGTCATTTCAGACCACAATGAAAACTGACTGAACATTAAGAGCAGGGCCAGAAGGACCAGGAGCAGAAATCCCTGTGTGTGAGAGTGAGAGCTACAGCTGGACCTGAAAAGAAAATGGAGAACCGTTCCAGTCGTGTGCGTGTGGGGTACGCTCTCCCACGGGACTCAGGACACAACACAGGTCCTCCGTTCGTGCAGGCTGATGTTCATAAAATGACTCATTATCCACGCCCGCAGGCCTGGGGGAAAGGTGTTTTCCTGCTGTGCACTGACCACCAGGCTCCCTCACCCCCTGGGGTCCGAGGGCCACTGCCATCTGTCTAGCTCACGAGAACATTAACTGGCCGAGAATATCACACACAGAAACCCGGTGACCGCTTCCCTTTGGAGATAAGAATTTCCTTGTGCTCAGCTCATTCACAAGATACCCAGTTTCCTAAGGCAATTTGGCAAGCTCCAGAAAAACAAACCGAACCTCAAAAAAGCAGTGAGAGTGAGCAGTGGGGAGAGTGGGAGGAGATGGGTGGTGGAGTGAAAACCAGGCTGTACTTTTCAGTAATTAAAAACGGAGTCTGCAAGAATGGATGGGAACAGGAAGGCTTACTTATGCCTTAATAAAGGAACATTAGTGTCCAAAGGCCTGAGCAGACATGATTTATGTGCAGTCTGCAAGGACTGATTACTTGTAAAATACTCTGTAGTTCTGCAGAGGTAATAGCTGGTGTTCAGAGGCTGCGGACTTAACTGCTGAGGAGCAGGCCAACTGGCATCCGCCAGGGCAAAGCAGACAGGAAACGATAGGGGAGGAGAGGCTCCCGGGCGCTGCGAACAGGTGGCCGTGGTGAGCTGGCACCACTGCCACCAGAGCAGGATGGCAGAGAGGCCAGACGCTCACCACGGTGCTCATTCATGCAGCTTTCCTGCGTGTCCCCTACCGGCAAAGCACCATCAGGGCTTCAGGCAGTGTCAGCGCTGAAGGAGTTTAGCCTGGGGAGAAAGGACACTTCAATTATAACACAAGACAAGAAAGGTGGTGCTTGGGCAGGTTCTGCTGCATACATCTGGAGAGGGACTGTGAGGAGATGCAGCCAAGCAACCACCAAGAACAACAGGATGGTGGAGCCAGAGCCGGGTGTGGTAGTGTACGCCTGTAATCCAGCACAGGGAGGATAAGGCAGGAGGAGTGTTGTGAGTTCGAGACCAGCGTGGACTAAAAGTGAGCTCAAAAAAAAAAAAAAAAAGAGCAATGATATGGAGACAGCAAAGCCTGCACTGGGGTTTGGAAAGACAAGATGGTCCGGCAGGCTGGAAAGACTGGCTGGGGGAAGGTGTCGCAGAGTCCAGGCAGCCACCATCACCCACGTGGTGCCTTCAGGAGGACGAGAACAGGAAAGGTTAAGAACAGCATGACTTACAGGGTACTACAAGGGCTCTACCCCACCCCTCCCCCGAGAGCAACCTTTACACCTGCACGTGACAGGAGAAAAGTTCAGCGACGTACAGCTCTTTGAAACCGACCACGTCTAGCTAGTCATATAAAGAAACTTGGAGGTAGGGTTTTCTCAAGTATGACGCAAAAGCTCTAACTACGATAGGAAAATCTTAGTAGGGCAGCACCCTCAAAACACACTTTAAGAGTAAAGAAGGCGATTCAGAGATTCCATGAAGGTGCAATATGCCTACCTAGTATGAGCTGGTCAATCAACTTTCCAGAACAGGGCAACCTTAGCCAAGTTCTGTGGTTTAAACACTCACCACGCAGGCTTTAAGTTTCCAACCTGGTATCATGCGCCGCGTTAGGGAGAAATGTCACACAGCGCCACTGCATTCACCCGCCAGTGCGACTGTGTCCACAGTCAAAGGACTCCAATAAGCCGGCTAAGGAAAGCACAAAACACAACACCCAAAAGCCATCTGTGAATGTCTGAACACACGTGTCACAGTGAGGACCGTGGACAGATGAGAAGCAGCTCAACGTCCCTGCTCGGGGGAAGTGAGAGGAAGATCCCCAGGAAGCGTAACACGCATCTCCAGCAGGGCTTCAACACTTTGAAAGCTGACAACCCAAGGCAAGCGACCCCCATCCAAATTCCAAAATCTGTAAGGCCCCAAAATGCACCACTTTTTGAGAGATGCTGCTCAAAAATGAGCTTTCACACCACTTAAGAATTCTGATTTTCTGGCCAGCAAGACAGCTAGCAGTCTAGGCGCCTGCCTAGGGAAGCACAAGGACCGGGGTTCGATCCCCTGCACCACATGCCACACCAGCCATCAAGACTGGTGTGGTGGTGCACACCTGAAGCAGGAGGGTCCCCATGAATCCAAGCTGCGCAGTGAGACCGTGTACCAACTACCTAATTTTTTTTTTAAAAAGAAATCTGACTTTTAGATGAGGGACATTCCACTGATGAAGCCTTATTTTAGGATACAAAAAGCTCCAAAATCATAAAAACTTCTGGTCTCAAGCACTTCAGGCAGGGGCTCCCCAACTTGTACCAAGTGTTGGTAAGGATGAATCAAACGGAATTTCCCTATGCTGCGCACGGCAGTGCAGTCTCTACAACCCCCTTGGAGAACTGGCAACTGTGCAGGGAAATAATATAGCATGTTCGTAGCCTGTGACCTGTAAACTTCCTCTCCTAAATACTGTATATGACAATAAAACTGTGCCATGTGTACAAGGACAGAGGCTCACAATAGCCAGAGACAGTGACACACATCTGTCATCCCAGTACTCTGGCAGACTGAGGCAGCAGGACCGTGAGCTCAAGCACAGCCTAGGCTGTCTAGGCTCTGTTGCAAACATTAAAAGGGCGGCTGGAATGTAGCTCAGTGGAAAGGCCCTGGGTTCAAACTCCTTTACAAAGTAGAAAAGGTAAGGAAAAGAAGAAAGAAAGAGAAAAAGAAAGCAGGCAGGTACACTCACAGTATCATTAGTCATGAAAGCCCAGTGCTAGAATCTCCCCACCTAAAAGCCTTACAGTGAAACAGGGCAGCATGTTCACATACAAAATATCATGAAGCTAGAAAAACACAGACTCCAAGAGCACACGTAACAAACACATAGGTGAATGCTCAATCCAAAGGAGTCTGCATTCATCCACGCTGTTATGTGCTTTTTTAGTAGATATTTTTTGATCCTTTTATGCAAAGCTCCAAAACAGACCAAACCACTCTAGTGTCAGAAGCTGGGGTACTGCCCACCCTGCCCACAGTGACTGCCTGAGGATGACGTAGCTCCTGGGGTCCTCATGATACTGTTCCTCAACCTGGGTACAGGGCACAGAGGTGTTGGGTTTGTGACAATCACTGAGCCATCCAGCAAGCTGCATGTGCCTTCCCAAGCGCAAATCTCACTAAAATGCTCAAAAACGCTTAAGTAATAGGTGGCTGTACAGCTGCACAAAAACATCCCCCACAATGAAGGTAGACTAGAATAAAAGCCAGACCCAAATTTACATACTGAGTTCAATTCTGAATTTAACCTGAAAGCAACATTGGCAGCAGGCATGTCCATCCACTGTTAGCACATCACAGAGCCCAGGAGGGAGAAGAACACCCTTCTGGATCAGGGTCACGGCACGTCTATCCTGGGATGGGATGGATGCAAGCTGAAGGGGCACAAGTTGACAAGCAAGGGGAAGCAGTCAGGCCTCATTCTGGAAGGCTGGCCTCTGGGGAACCACCCAGAAAGAAACTTTGCCCTGCCTCAAATAATCCTCCCATTTGTACTACTGTTACCTAAATTCCAGCATTACAGATCTATTCCTTTGAAGTAAAAATTCCCCTTCAAAACTGCAAGTATCTTCAGGGAAAGGGCAATAAAGGAGACTGCTGGCAGCCACTAACATTTTAGCGTGATTTAATCCTGTCTATAATTTTCTAGGTAGCTTTTATTTTTTATTTTATTTTTTTTATTTGTGTGTGTGTGTGTGTGTGTGTGTGTGTGTGTGTGGCCAGCTCAGCCCACCAGGGGGCGGGGCTGGCTGGCATGTGGTGCTGGGGGATTGAACCGCGGCCCCTGTGCTTTGCTAAGCTTGTTCTAAGTAGGTGCTTTAGACCACTGAGTCATCTCACCAGCCCCTAGCTTTTAAATTTTAGATTAACTTCCTCCGTGAAAGACTGGTCACCTGAAACCAGAAAGGAAAGTGTTAGAAAGATGAACAAAGACACATTCAGAAAGTGTAGAGGGTAGAAGGGGGCAGGCACCAAGAAGCATTAGAAAGATTTCCAATTCACAAATTTGAGTTTAATCCACAGCTTTAAAACACAGCTCCGTGGATTAAAGCACCTGTTCAGGCAGACACAAGGGCCGGAGGTTCGATCCCCAGCCTGCCGTGCTGGCCCCGCCCCCAGGGCGTACTGTTTCATTTACTAAGACAGTAAATGAGATTGGGCATGATGGCATGCACCTGTAATCCCAGCATTTAGGAGGCTGAAATCAGAAGGATTACTTTGAGTCTGATCTGTGTAGTGCGGTCTCAAACAGGTCATCCTAAACTTGAGGTTTCTGGGGCAAATTATGTATGTGATCAAAGACAAAAGCAAACAGTACTCCCCAGAAGACCTGTAGTATCTACATCTTTGGGGTCTCAAACTTTGGAGGCCCATTCCTTTGGGTGGGGGTGTAACCCTGTTAAGCAACTGCTTTTTAAAACACAATGTTCTCCGGGAAAGAGACACCAAAGGTAGTTGTGGGCCATCCTGCCCCCAAAATCTAGGAAAGACATTCTTATCATCCCCCCAAAGAATCCATTTCAGTCAGAAAATCTAGATTTAAAAAGGAAGAAAAGGGTCGGCAAGACAGCTCAGCGGACTAAAGCACCTGCTTAGGCAGACACAGGGGCGGGGGTTTCGATTCCCAGCCTGCAGAGCTGGCCCTGCCCTGCGGTGCACTGAGACAGTAAATGAGACTGGGGGTGGTGGTGCAAAAATAATAAAAATACAAAAATAAAGAGTAGATGACTGGCCGGGGAGGTAGCTCAGTAGAACAAGCGCTTGCCTGGCAAGCGCAAGAGCCTGAGTTCAATCCCCAGTTCCACCAAAAAAAAAAAAAAAA